TCTTATTTAAAAAAATTTAAAATTATTGTTTATTTTATTTGTGACTTACTTTATTATCTACAGTACTTTAAACACAACTTTTCGTTTTTTACATTTAAAAAAAAATTTGAATAAGACGAGTGGTCAAACGTTGTAATCAAAAACTCAAAATCCCTTATATTATGGGACGGAGAGAGTAGTTTCTTACAAACTGCAAACAAAACCAAACCTCTGCAATCTCTAGCGATGATTTAAATATTCCATGCCCTCACCAATCAAAACATGCATGGATATTTTTTATTAGATTGGCGGAGAGAGAACATAATACTAATAGTGATTCTCATTTCTCACATGCGAAAACAAAAATATGTTTTAGATATTGCATAATGCATACCACCCACACTAGCCTTAGCTCATGTTTGGAGGTGGTGTATAGAAAATAGATGTAGGTTTCAAAAGGGCTTCCATAATCAAAACTAAATTCTCTATTTAATGTTAATTGCTATTTTATTTTTTGTTCCGTAGCATCGCACAAGTATTTTCTTTCTATCTATTCCCTACTATTATAAAAATTAAAGATGTTTTTATTGGTACGCCATTCGTGTATGAGTCAATTTTTAAGTTTGTTCGCTTTTAGAAATACATATTTGTATTTGAGTCGGTTTCTAAGTTCGTTCATTTTTTAAAATAAAAAAGGAGTTGTATAAGAAATTTCTTTTAAAAAAACATTGGACTCCTAATAGCATCTCATTATTCTCTACTACTTAAAAAATACAAAACATTTCCTTCGTCCATCTAAATAAAAAATAGCAAAAAAAAAAAGAAGTCCAATTCCCAAAAGTTTGAGAAAAAATAGCGAATAAAATAAAAAAATCGTAGATTCAGTTCCCCTTAAAAAGGGAAAAACAACAAAAAAAAATGTCCGATTCCTATGCAAGGCGGAAAAAAGTGGCGAAAAAAAAAACATGTCCGATTTGCAAGCCGGAAAAAAACAGTAGATCTAATTCCCCTTAAAAAGGGGGGAAAATCCTATTCCTATATAATCCTATTCCCACGTATGGTTTTTCTGTTTTCCTTCTTTTTTTCGTTTCTTTTTTTTCTTTCTTTTTTTGGTTTTTTATTTCCTAATACTATATATGTATACAAACTTTATATACACGTATACAAACTTTGTAAACTGTATATTTTTTTATACGCATGTATATAAGCTTTGTATGCTTCTCTATCACTGCTACTTAAAAAATTCAAAACATTTCATTCGTCCGCCCCTACTTAAAAAATTCACATCTAAAAAAGCTCCATCTGATTCCCTAAGAAAGTGGCGAAAAAATAGTTCGTAAAAAATAAAAAAGAATGAGAAAAAAAGTAAAAGGAGCGGGAAAAAGCGCGGTAAAAAAAGTTCGATTTCTATTCGTTTTAGTAGTCCGCATATATCTCTTCTCTATCTCTAATCTAATCTAATCTAACTATTTGAAAAGAGAAGTTTTCATAGTACAACTAAAAAGAGAAGTTTTCATCGTACAATTATAAATAAAAGTTTTCAACGTACAACTAAAAATAAAAAAATACACGAGAAAATAAAAATGGTTAAAAAAGCGTGAGAAAAAAATGTCAGAAAAAAGCGCTAAAAAATGTTTCCGTCATCCCTAAAAAATAAAAAAAACATGCGAAGAAAAAACTGTTAGAAAAAACATGCCATTTCTAAAAAAAATGGTTTGGAAAAACCTCGCATGAAAAAAACACTGTATATAAAAAAACAAGCTGCTCTGAAAAAAATATCAGAAAAAACACTAAATTGATGGACGCTCAAAAAAAACACTAAATTGATGGACTCTTAGGTCGGATAGGATCATCAATTTTTTTTCATCTCCTACCATGCTTTTGTTTCGTCTCTATATGCAATTATTAGACTATTTTTGTTAAGTATAGCTAATATTTCTGATAACATATGATATAGAAATAATACTGAAAAATAAACATATTTTTAATTGTTATTTAGAGAAGAGTGCATAGTGACTCTATTTTGTGTAGACTTGACCATGCGAGGTAATGTAGTATCTGATTAATCCTATTATTGGTTGCAAGAATAAGATTGAAAGAGTATTTTAGATTATATATATGCTGTCACGTGGATAATCCAATTATTTTAGGTAAAGCAGGCATCGGTAAGGTTGTCATCGTTGAGGTTGGGCCATTACATTGAAGATGTTCCAACTTTTTGATTGTCTTAGCTATAAACAATCTATACAAACATTATCATTGACATGGTTATGTATGAAAAAAATAAATTATCGTTAGAATTTTTTCACCCGTTGCAACGCACGGACATTTTTGCTAGTTTCTTAAAAAATATATCTCTAAGCGAATTTCCACAGTAAATTTCACATTAACTAAACAGTATAGCAATAATAAGATTAACATAGCCTTCACCCGTTACAACGTACAGGTATTTTTTCTAGTCTCTATAAAAATAAAAATAAAAATAGTAACTGTTTAGATTGAAGGATTTGATCCTCTGCTTCAGAAGAATAGGGGATGTCATTATCTAAAAAAAAGAATAGGGGATGTGGATCCTCTGCTATATCAACAATAAACTGAGTCTAATACTGTACTGTAAGACGGTACTCCCAGATATGATTGCTCTAACATTTCTCATATTTATATCGATGGTAATGAATCTAAATAGATATATATATCTAGATTCATTAATATCAATATAAATGTGAAAAATACTAAAATGACTTACATTATGAAACGGATGGAGTATATTTTTGAGACGAAGTCCATATTTGGGACTTCGAACTTTAGTAGGCTAAGCTAGTGAGATGAGTTGAACCATGTGAGGTGTCCACCGCAGCCAATCAGGTGGAAAACATGGAGGTACACGAAATACCGCACCCAAACCATGAGCAACGCCGACATGATCTCCGACGAGCTCGACCGGTAGATCGAATGCTTGCCTGTCTCCCTCGCCATGGTGATCTCCCCCGCGATCACCCGCCCCAGCAGCACGGCGGCGCCGGCGTCCATGGCCCAGAACGCGCCGGCGATGACCGTGGCGAACGTGCCAACGTCTCCGGCGTTCGTGGCGGCCGAGGCCCTGACGAGGCCGCACAGCACGAGCGCCACCGGCGCCAGAAGCGTGCACCACGCTGCCGCCGGGTTGCGCTGGAGCACGCCGTCGATGGTGGGGTAGGGGTCCATGTGATTCTCCGGCACGTACAGGAGGCACATCGGCAGCGCGAAGATGCACAGGGCGGCGGCAATGGCGGCGGCGGCCGAGGAGAGGCCGCCGAGGACGCCGACCGCCGCGCCGCCGGCGACCGCGCATGTGGCGGACAGGGCGGCGGCGAAGCGGACGGCGTCGCGCCTGGCGGCCTTGGCGGTGGCGGGGACGTCGAACACGAGGGGGAACGCGATCTCCGGCGTCCGCTCCACCGCGTCCATGAAGCTGGCGTACTGGTCCACCCTCGAGAACGCCACCGCCGTGTAGCCGCCGTTCGTGAGGCACCACCACAGCGCCGCGGCGGCGGAGGCGTTCGCGGCCCAGGCGAGCGCGACGTCGTCGGCGGCGAGCACGGGCACGGCCAGGACGGCGGCGAGGAGCGCGGCGGGGGCGGCGACGGCGCACGCGAGCATCGGGTAGGGCGTCTGGTGGAGGCCGCGCGGCGCGCGGAGGAACGCGAGCGCGTAGACGGAGAAGGGGAGCATGAAGAGGAGCGCGCCGTGGCCGAGCGCGAAGGCCAGCGCCGCCGGCGCGGCGGCGGCGGCATGGTAGGACACCGCGGCGGCGAACGGCGCGTAGGCGGCGGACACGGCCATGGCGACGTCCGCCGCCTTCCTGAATATGAACACCTTCTTCTTCTTCGCCATGTGTGATGCGCTAGTAGCCGCTTAATTTCTCTCTCTTTCAAATCAAATCAATCGAATTATATAAATCAAATTGATTTGATTTATATGGAAGAGATCGAATTGGGGGAGGGGGGGTCGTCAATTATATGGACTCATCAGAATCGGTTCTTGTTTCTCAAGAAGAGAATTGGTTCTGGTTTAAGTAAAAGTAGAAGTCGATTCCTATACGTCGGTACAAAATTTTGACAACCCGTTATATTTCACAGTCCTAATCATATCTAGCGTACAAAATCTCTATTTAGGCGTAGACATAGCTCAATTCAAATAGGGTTGCTGAATTGTTTGGCTTAGATATGTGTGAAATTAGAGCCAAGCTGTGTCAGGTTTTGGGCAACTTCGGTCCCTGATGCCGTAAGTTGGTTAGGTTGGGATTCTGCCTCGATCTCTTAAGTTAATGGTAATTTGCTGTGATTAGTTAAGCTATGGCTATAAGCCGTATAAATATGAACCAAGCAAACAAAAAATAATTTAGGGTTAAAACTTTTATATCTTTACTATTTGTGGTTTAAAAGCCAACGCTACAAATAAACTACAATAAAATAATTCTAAATTAACTCTAAAATTGTATTTCTAAATTTAAATTCTGGCTCCAACTGATAAGCCTACAAGTAAAGAATGAGAATGTTTTACTACTCTCTAGCTAAAAAAGCATAAGAGAAGTTTCTAGGATTTGATTATTTTAGAAGTTCCCTTTTTACTGCACATTTCCCGTTTCAAATAATCAACAGCTTCCACTAAACCATTTTCCACTATTTTTCGAAACAAATATAGAAAAATACTTGGAACCCTTCGCTATTATCGCTCCTTTGCCACATAGTTTGATGGCATCCTATAAATACCATGAAGTTGGTTGGCTTTGCTAAAATGCCATATTGATTTTTTTTTTGAGAAAGTCATATTGATAATCTAATTCGCTCATTAGCACACCATCAGATGAAATGTCAAAATTGCTCACATATCAATTTGTATGTATCCTGGTGTGGTTTGAGTTTGTTTTTTTTTTTTAACAAGTTCGCCCATCTGTAGCCATGATTTTTATACATTTCCTGCTTGCGAACCTGAATTCCACTATAAGAAGTTAGAGTATTCAGTCAAGAGACATCGCAATCTTCGGTGTAAAGCATATATACTTTCATGTCACATCCAAACTAAGGAGAAAATGCGACAGTAAAATTGTTTCATCTCTCTGAACATCACTAAAATGCGTTAAATATATACTCCATGTACAAAACCGTCAGCGAGAAACTGAGCTTGTAATTTTCTCCTAAACCGGTCAAAGTTAGCATCATAAACACAGCCTAATACTGACCATCAGGCCAACCTAAAGCTTCTGCCATATGGCACGCTAATTCTCATCGTCGGACCCAAACGGCTCAAGCCGCCGGACCGACTCCAGCACAGCGGGCCGGCGCGAGCCGACGCCCAGCATGGACCTCACCTTGGGCACGCTCATCGAGTTCAGCGGCGGCGTCGGCGTGTTCCGGTTCACCTCCTTGAGCACCGACCTCGCCGTGGCCCTCGCCGAGCCGTCCGCCGCCCTCTTGCCGCCACCGTTCACCGCCGGCGAGGCTCCGCTTGGCCCAGCCTCCGCAGCAGCTGCGGCCTTGGCCTTGCCCTTGCCGGCGACGTCGAGCTTCTGCATGTCGTAGAGGAGCTCCTTCTGCAGCTGCTTGTCCGCCACCAGTATCTCGTCGAACTCGTTCTTGTAGTCCTTGAGCAGGGTCCGCAGGCACTCCATCAGGCAGCCGGTGAGCGGGCTGTTCTTGCTCTCGAGAAGGCGCTTCAGCTCGATGAAGATCGGGATGGCGATCTGGATCAGGTTCTTCTTCGCCACCTGGGTGACGGCTCTCCCTTTCGCCGCCTGGAGAGTGGCATTGGACGACCCGCCATCGCCGCATTCCTCATCCATCTCGGAATTGTCCGTGCAAATGTTGGGGTGGATGCGCATCTCCTTGCATGCCAGTATTTGTAGAGCATCCTGTGAAAATGTAGCTAAATGGTCACAAAGGAAAGAAGCAAAGGCTAAATGGAGGAAATTGCTGAGCAAACATTTTGATACGATTGAGAAAACGTAGAAACAGAAAAAACGTAGGATTTTGATACGAGTACAAGTGTAAAACAAAGGATTGCAAAACACAGGAAAAACACAGGAATGACCGTTTGATTGGACCGCAGGAAAAACGTAGGAATTAGAGGAGAGATGAAGACTCGTAAGAAAATTTTCATGAGGTAGAACCTCATGCTAGATTTCCTCCAAAACTTCCATGTCTTTAGACATTCCATAGGAATTTCATAGGATTTCATAGGATTCATTCCTTTGATTCAAAGGGCTATATAGGAAAAATTCCTTTAGGAATGGAATCCTTTAAAATTCCTATGAATTTCCTTTGAATCAAAGGGGACCTAAACGTGTAAACTGTAAGCATGAAAGTTAATCTCAGTTCCTTGGCTGCATGTGCATGAACAATTTACTTCACATTAGCGTGAAACTTGTCCAAAATATCAATATTGGTATGGTATGTACCTGAAGTACAGCCCTTCCAGCGGCATCATCGACATTGAGCAAGCCATCACAAGCAGCTGCCAAGATCTCGGCACATAACTTGGCAGACGTAGCTAAAAGGTGCTCTGGTGCCATTTGCTTCAGCAGAGATACATATATGTGCATTCTTTTCGACCTCGACCTTTCGTCAGTGCCTCTGCAGCAAAAAGAAAAAAATAACCATGATAGAACTCAGGAGAGGATGAAGCACAGCTTTTTGCAAAGTGGATATCTTTTTTTTTCTCAAAAACGCATGAGGAATTTCTACATATTTTACCGTATTGCAAAAAGGGTTGGTCCTCCGTCCAACCTTCCCTGAGATTCGGTTTGCGCACCATTACCCAAGCAATTGTTTAGGACATAGATAGCTTCTATGAAACTATTATATGCAAGGAGTGGCGCTTTAGCTGCAAAATTTATGTCAACATTAGACAGATAACACAGAAAGGGGGTAAATCCTTCAGAAAAAGAACTTGAGTGCTTGACTTTCCCAAGAAAAAAGAAAACGTGTGGCCACAATTTTTTTCAAATTTCAAATAAAAAAAATCAAGTAAAAGATAAAACAGAACGCAGGGTAAACCTTTCAAGATGTTCCCAAAAAGGAAGTCTGCCAAATGCCTTATCTTCTCTGACTCATCAACTAAAGATGGCAGGAACCGAAGGAAGAGCACACCTCTCCACTTTACATAGTCCCTCTAAATAAAAGAAAAGTTTCAATAAACCATGATCCAAACATGTGGAAGTGATATTAAGAAAATTATTAGCACCTGCAGCAACTTTGAGAGTAGGATAAATGTTTGCCTCCTCACTACCTCACAGGGATCACGCAACGATTTTGTTATTTTTGACATATAACTGCAGAGTGAATAAAAAGGGGAGGTCAGTTAGAAGTTGAACTATTTTAATGTTTTCCCTGTTTCCCACGTGCAGTTTAACTGATAAGATCTTAATCAAACAGTAAAGCAGTTTTACATCTTTTGCAACTGAAGCTGTAACAAAGATAAACCCAAATTTTGTGAATATTGACAGTATGTGCTAATTTTACAAAGTATGCACACACTAGTGATATCTATGCTTTATATTATGTGACTGTGTAAGCAAGCAAATGCAAATCCACTTGAAAGAAACACAGTAACAGGATTTTGGAAGGACATAACAGATATAAAAGTCAACCAATGGAGATGTAAGCTCACCAGTCAACCATTGCGGTATAACGGACATAAAAGTCTGCCAGTGCAATCATGATGTTATTCCGGAGGGTAGCCAAATCACTCCTCTCAAGTTCCTGAGTCAAAGAAGTAGCATTGAGTGTTTCTATTAAGAGTAGACATGGAAGTGCAACCATGCAAGGCTACGCACCTGAACAAAAAGTGGAATATATCTTTTCGCAAGTTTGTCATCCACAAGGCATATTTTAGCCATTGTATCCCAGGACTGTATATATAAAGATGGAGCTAGCTCTTTGAAAGAAACAGTCCCACCAGCAAGATTTTTTGGTCTTGGCTGAGAGTTTCCAGATGTTATGATTGTGTGCAGCGAAGGAATGACGCCTTGCACATTAGCAGTGGGGCAAGCTAGGATCAGCGATCCAATGGTGAATACAGCAATAACTGCATGTGACATTGACTTTTGTGCAGATGCATCTTTTCTTCCCTTGAGTTTTCCACTCAAAGGTGTAAAAAATTTAGGACCCTTAGCAGCTTCTGATGTCTCCTTTATGTATTCATCAAGAATGTTAACAGCTTTACATATAAGTTGCTGCACCCACTTCAGGATCAGTGTTTCGCCCTCCTTAGCTGTTTTTGCTTTTCGTTTGCATAACGTTTTCAGGGATTTTACATGAGCATCAACCTGTATGTGTATGAAAATAAGACATTATGGTGAACATATCACAATGAATTACTTATATCAAGAGCGATGTGGTACACAAAAATGGTATTCATCTAACAAAGAAGGTAAAGGTAGCAATGCCATGAATAAAAATAATACAAGTGGATAAGTAACACCATTGCAGAACTATGGAGAGAAAAAAAAAAAGGGCAGGTAAAAACAAGGTAGGTAACAAATAATCTGAGCATACAGATACGGGATAATCTTGTCATAACAAGTAGGTTTCCACAGAGCAATTTTGGGAGTTGGGACTATGATGTGAACCTTCAGATAAGCTAGAAGGATACCTCATTCAGAAAACTAATTCAAAATATTGTGGATTATTATAGTTATGGGTATATATACCCAGTCTTTACCTTATAGATCACTGACATGTTCACCTTCATTCAAATTAAAGACACCATTAAAAGCACTGGCTAGATCAAATTCTTCATAAAAATAAATACTCCCTAGTCCCATTTCCAATAGAGTAACATGACTAGGGTGGAATGCAATGTGGCATGGTAGATTTCAGCGTAGTGCCATAGTGGATTTACAAATCAAGATGATTAATGATTTAGTGGTTTTTACAACTAAATTGCAGCCTAGTCCTGACCACAAACAGAGTACATGATTTGTTGCTATGTAATAAATCTATTGTACTAGACTAAATTTTGCAATTGATACATTAAATGATTACCTCACTAAGGTTCATGTCAAAATTTTCAATCCGTGTGAGCAAGCTGTGTGCAAGTTCTGCTGCAGGTTCCACAGGCAGCTCCATGGAAACATTTGAAATAGTTTGCAAGAGTGAAACACGATCCACAGCCCATAATGCAGAATTTGGTTCCCCTTTAGGACGAACTTTGCCTTTATCTTGGCCAACATTATCAAGGAGTTTCCAGTGGTGTGAGAGGAATTTCCAGTTAACTGATTTAGGTGCAAATGATGAGACCTCAGAAAGAAGCCACCATGCCCCGGCTGGTGCAGTCCACATCTCAATTGGTTTACAACCTCTCAACCACAAGGACTCTGATATTGTTATGATATTCTGCAATGAACTTGCAAGCAGTGGTTTCAGCTTTTTCTTCTTCCCAAGGCTTGCACATATCTTTTTTATGCATGGTGCAACCTCTCCATCACAGATACTTTTCAGCAAATCCAGTGTCCCTTTAGGAAACACTTCCTCCATATCATTGGAATCATCATTTAGATTCAAATTGGCAGCTTGACAGACCCTGTTCAGGACCAATTCAAGAAACAAATTCTCACATTCCTCTTGGATACTTGTCTCACTATCAATAACCAGTGGTGGCACAGCCTGAAGCCACTCTTTTGTTACCCTCTCATCCGGGAAGTTCCTGAACACCTCTGAGATGGCTGCAAGAGCTGCCTTGCGTATGCTGACTAGCGGATCAGAGCACGCAGCCCCCATAGCACTGAGTAGCGACTCGTCAACAGGCCTCCCGATCAATCTGATTGACTTAGTAATGAGCACAAGCGCAGCCTTCCTCACAGCAGCCTTATCATCAGCGCACCGCAGCCTCAGCAACTCGCCAAGGCCTATGTTCCCTATCCTCATCACCTCCTGCAACCGGTCAACCTCCATGCCTCTTTCAGACAAAACGTCGAGCGCCTGGGCTGCGTTCGTCAAGGCCCGAGCCCTGACCCCTCCCACCGTATCCGAGCACCTCTCCACAAGCACCCGGACAAACTTCAGCCCCCAAGAACCCTCCTGTAGACCACAATCATCCCCTTCCGATGGCAGCAGCAATGGCAGCATCGCCAAGATCAAATCCACAGCAAGCAGCCGCCCTTTCGCCTTCCCCTTCGCCATAGCCACCACATACCCAGCAAATCCCTCCATCTCCAATTGCCCCATTGCTCGCACCACCTCGACTATGGCCTCCACCGCCATCGCCCTAGCCTCCGACTTCTCCGGCGCCTTCGCCGCCAGATACCTCGGTAGGTAACCCACCGCCTTCCTCACCCCATCCTCCCCTCCCTCCACACCCAACGGCACAACCTTCCTCGCCAAGAATTCCACCGCGGACGCCCGCGCCGCCGATCTGGACCCTGAGAGCGCCACGGGGGCCAGCGCGCGCACCAAATCGGGCATCGCCTCGGCGTAGTAGCCAGATCCGAGGACGGCGACGAGGACATCGAAGGCGGCGAGCTCCGCGGCGGTGTCGACGAGCGACCTCCGCGCGTCCGGGTGCTCCCCGAGCGGCAGCCTCCCCGCGGCGTCGGCGAGGAGCGCGAGCGCCCTGGGGAGGAGCGACGGGGCCGCCGCCGGCGACTGACGCTGCTGGTGGCTCTTCCGCTTCCGGTTCCGGTGGTTCCCCTTGCCGGAGCCGGAGCCGGAGCCGGAGCCGGAGCTAGGGTTGGCCGCCGCCGCCGCATCGTGCGACGCGGCGGACGACGACGCCGACTTGCGGAGGGCGAGGAGGAGGGAGAGGAAGGGGAGCGGCGAGAAGAGGGAGAGGAGAGGGGAGGCCGGGGCGAGGAGGAGGCGGAGGTAGGCGACGGCGGCGGGGAGCGGGTGGTGCGCGGAGGAGAGGGAGGCGGCGAGCGGGGCGGAGAGGGAGGAGGCCGGGAGGCCCGCGGCGGCGAGGCGGGGGAAGATGGAGGAGGAGGGGGACGCCGCCGAGGAGAGGAAGGTGAGGGAGGCGAGGGAGAGGGGCGGGGAGGTGGAGGTGGAGGAGGAGGAGGAGGTACCGGAGGAGCGGCGGTGGAGGGCGGCGAGCTCGGAGAGGAAGGTGGAGAGGGATCCCGAGGCGGAGGGCGGGGATCCCGTCTCGTCGGCGGCGGCGTCGATGTCCATCTCGTCGGCGGCGTCCATGGCCGGCGGCGAGGGGGGAGGAGGGAGTGCGGGAATTTGAAATTTTGGTAGTTGGGGGGGGGGGGAGGAGAGAGGTTGGTGCGGTGTGCTGGGTCCTGGGTGGGTTTAACGTTGGAAACTGGAATGTGGGTCCAGAAGTCTAGAGGGTCTAAGAGGAACTGGATAATGGCTTTTTCCTTAGGCCATGTTTAGGTCCCACGCAAAATTTTTTTACCCTATCACATCGAATGTTTGAACATAGATATAGAGTATTAAATATAGACAAAGAACAAAACTAATTATACAGATTGCGTGTAAATTGCGAGACGAATCTTTTAAGCCTAATTGCTCCATGATTTGATAATGTAGTGCTACAGTAAATATTTGTTAATGACGGATTAATTAGCCTTAATAAATTTGTCTCATAATTTGCAGGCGGAATCTGTAATTTGTTTTGTTATTAGTCTACGTTTAATACTTCAAATGTGTGTCTTTATATCCAACGTGACATCCCAAAACTTTTCATCCCTGGAATTAAACAGGGCCTTAGACCCTATTTAGATGGGATTAAAACTTTTAAGTCCCTATCACATCGGATGTTTGGGCACTAATTATAAATATTAAACGTAGACTATTAATAAAACTCATCCATAATCTTAGACTAATTCACGAGACGAATCTATTGAGCCTAATTAATCCATAATTAGCCTATGTAATGCTACAGTAAACATTCTTTAATTATGGATTGATTAGGCTTAAAAAATTTGTCTCGCAAATTAGCTTTCGTTTATGTAATTAGATTTGTAAGTAGTCTATATTTAATACTCTAAATACAGAGACTAAAGTTAAGTCCCTGGATCCAAACACCACTTTAGTATATCTTTGTACGGAAGACGTGTGCAATGCTATATTTCTACTCTCTCAGTTTTATATTATAGGTCACTTTGACATTTTTTTCCTAGTTAAACTTTGTTAAATTTGACCAAATTTAAAGAAAAATTTAGTAATATCTAAAACACCGAATTAGTTTTTATTAAATCTAGCATTGAATATATTTTATTAAACGCACGATAGGACGGCGGGATAGTGTGGGCCAGTTAGGTTGGGCTTGGAGGGGAGGGGTTGGGCTAGGATAGGATGTATAATAGTTATTCTATACTCACATCAAATTGGATACGGACGATATATAACAACTCAAAAACGGATGACGTATCAAAATTTCGACAAAAAACATCTTTGATTTTTATAATAGTAGATATATGTTTGTTTTGTGTTAAAAATGCTACTATGTTTTTCTATAAACTTGGACAAACTTTAAAAAGTTTAACTAAAAATGTCAAAACGACATGTAATACGAAACAGAGAGAGTACTTTGTATTACCTCTATTCAAAATGTAGGTTTTTTTAGTGAGCATGGGTATTTAAAAAATCGGTAGAAATAATTAAAGTAAGGTTGTGATTAGCTGAGAACAGACAGTAGACGAGATAATTAAATGGAGAATGGTTATGATTTGTTGAGAGGAGGGGAAGAGTGAAAAAATAGCTTCATTTTGGGTGAAGAGTGAAAAAAATAGTTTCATTTTGGGACAAGACTGCCTGTATGTTGCAATGGCAAAAAACAAAGTCACGTTGTGCACACTTATCTTTTTGAAGATTCTGCAAACTGGCTCTTTCTAATCCTTTTAACTATATGGATTAATTCCCTACTCCCTCCGGTTTCATATTAATTGGCATTTTAGATGAGGTTGAGATCGAACTTTTATAACTTTGACAATTAATAACTTTAAAAATATTTAATTTAAAAGAACTAGAACAACATATATAGATTTGTCTTTCAAAGCACTACAATAAAAGTAAATATGCAATTATTTATTATATATATTATAATAGAAAAATAAGGTCAAAGATATATTTTGTAGACCGTATCATTGTCCAAAACGTCAATTAAAATGAAACTGAAGGGAGTACGTACTTACCGGACCTTAAAAAAATATTGACATTATTTTGCTTAGACATACTTTTTTTTTTACGTTTGAATCCAGTGAGCACGTGAGTTTCACCGATAAGGAGGCCTAATATGTTAGCGATAGAGGTGATAGTAGCAGACTCACTGCTACCACCAGTCCATCACTACTATATTTTAAAATAGTATAGATAAAAAGTACACTTATTTGAGTCGGATGGTGACAAATGTTAGTATTATAGTCACGTTGATGAAAAAAGAATGGAGGTGTGGCATTCATTTGTGGTGTTCATTTTTTGTGGCCTGAGTCAGGCAACTCTCCAGATAAGTAACCAAACAAATTTGTATGTTGTTCAGACTTGTTACAGGTGTGGCATCTAGGCTACCAACCAAACACACTCGTAATGTTGCTATGAATGTGGAGGATATCATGGCCTTAACGGATGTATGGAGATGATCGAGAAAAGCATGCTACCAAGACGTGGTTAAGATATGATCGAGGAGGACACCCTGACGTATGGAAATAGTTAAGTTGATAAACAATGGAAATAGTTCAAATCCATCCAGTGACCGGACTTTAAGTTGATAAACAATGGTGGAAACATAATAGCTACTCGCCTACTCTCTCTGTCCTAAAATATAATCATCTCTAGCTATGAATCTGGACTGGGCTATAACTCGTTGAGCAAAGGTTGAGATGGTATTCTATTCCATTATTGGCCCTGTTCGGCAGCTAGGGCTGCCACAGTCGCTGCGGCCGCAGTTCAAAGTCGCTGCAAGCTGCAGCAATTTTGAACAGTTGCAGCCGCAGCCGCTGCTGAAAAATGACAGCTGAACACACCCATTAGAAAAAAGAAAATAGTTAAAAGAAGCAAAATGGGATGAGGTTAAGCTTGATTACACGAGTTACTGGATCCGATGGGAAATTGGGAATACACCCAAATCATTGTCCTTTAACGAGCAAAAGATATAAAATAGTGAGAAAACAATATACTTGTAGGTAGAAGTAACATGAAGATGATGAGGATGCGAGTGAAACGAGAAAAGAATTTGGGAGATCGATGCAACACGGTGGCAGACCCATGATTTCATCAAGCCACTACACTATAAAACACTTCCCAATCCAACCTTTAATAAACTATTAAAACACTTCCCAATTCAATCTTTATTTGAGTTAACAGATCTGTTTTATTAAATATCACATAACCCTATTTATTATGGTTTTAAATGGAACAAGATATATGGGTTTTGGCATATTGCACAGTGACCATCGGTATTAGATTTCACAAAACCACACTACTAGTAATCAATCTGAATTAACACTATAGCAAAATAAAAAAGAATTAACTTAGATTACTATAACTTTTATATGATCGAATTAAAGAACTCAGATGAAATTTTGGTTACTGCTGCTGTTTTCTGAAGTTATAGGAGCATAATACCATTATAAGCAACATGCCAAAACAAATGACTTATGCACAATTGGTTAATACATGAAGTTCCGTAAAATTTACTCTTTAAAGGAAACTCTACAGGATTTTGTGATACTAGCGTTATACGTTCAAGGAACGAGCAAATAACGAAGCGGTAACAGAGAACAAGAGGAAATCAAAATTCCAGATCAACTTTATACAAAATCACACAGGAATCAGAGGAACATCCCCAATGTGTGTTCCAGAAGTTCACTATAAACAAGATAATTGAACTTACGAAAAGCCCATGGCATCAAACTGGCAACATTCATGATCCATGCAATTTGGGCCCTCCATGGTAAATAAACCCTGTGCCTAATCCAAAAACCACAACACTGGCCACCCCAAATCCGCTGCTACACAACCCTGGATCAACCGAGCAAAAAGAACGCTAATATACACCTACTGGATGAGGGTCTGCCGCAGGGCCACCACATGTGGCTGTGAAATGTCATTTGAATCAACACATACAGAAGGGAGAAGATGAGGGTGTATAATAAAACAAACAATATTGGTAATAACAATACAATTGTAATTATGGTGGAACTTTCACTTCATCGTTTCATGGGTCCGCCGACCGACTGCTCCAGCTCGGTTGTTCTATGAGGTGCTGTCCCACCCCGATTGCCTCATGCAGGTGAAGATTGGTGAGCAATATGTTTCATTTGCGCAGGCCGTTTAGAAGAGTTCCTCTGAGTTGAATTTGTTCCATGCCTCCTGTTTTGTGCAAACATAGAGGAGGTTTAATTAAAGTTTATACCAAAAGGATGTAATGGGAAACACTAGAAAATAGAACTCTTTAAAAGTCCCGGCACTTGGTAAACAATTTTAGGGAAAACAATTGAGTACAAGCTCTTTTTTCTTGCTAAAAATAAATAATAAGATCCTAAATATGCAACATTGTATAAAGAAGTAAGCTAATGTAAGATATACTAGCCAAAGTACTAAATATCAACAAGATCAATCTGATGTATTAAATTATCGTATCGTGTATATGTCAAGCATTTGCTTTTGGGTTCCTCTAGGCAGACTATCAGGCCATTACTAAGGTTTGCATTAATTTGGTTGTGGGCATAGTAGGCAGGGCATGCCAGATATACTTGCGTTGGCACCAGGTGGTGGTCCAGGTGGACACAAACCAAAGTTTGCATTAATATGGGTTATTCTAGTGTACCATCAATCATATGAAAACTGTCAAACCTTGGCACTTTCCATGTGAAATCATAGAGGAAGCCTTATTTGGCTCAATGGACCACACATGAATAATAATATCTCAAAATGTACAGTGAAAGATCCTAAATATTCATAATTGACAAATAGTCAGTTTCCATGTAGAGGCCAATGTCCTAAAATTGGAAAAACACATTAATAAGTCCTGTTAGGCTCTGTAGCTAGGCAGTCCCTAATTTCTCCACAATAAACTAAAAGGGAAATAAAAACATACGGTTGACCAATTGTTAGTGTGAAGCAGCATGCTGCTATTATGGTTTGTGAATATATTTTGGCAGCATACACACCTTAAGGAGATCAAACACCTTCTCGGCAACATATTTCTGCTGTAGATTTGCCCCCTTTTGCTGCACCTTGTCAGGATGTATGCACAATGTTGCCTTTCTATATACCTTTTTAACCGCAGCAGCAGTAATCAAGTCAGTCAGGGA